ACAAGCTCATGAACAACTCAGTGTTTGGTAAGACTATGGAGAACCTGAGGAAACGCGTGACCGTGAAGCTGGTTTGGTCGAATGAGGAAGACAAGCTCAGGAGACTGATAGCCAGTCCGGCATTCAACCGTAGCAAGATATTCACCGATGACCTAGTTGCCCTACACATGAAGAAAAGCCACATAAAATTCAACCGGCCTGTTTACGTGGGGATGAGCATCCTCGATTTATCCAAACACCTGATGTACGACTTTTACTACAACGAGCTTAAGAAACAGTACAACGACAGGTGTGAAGTGCTGTACACTGACACGGATTCCCTGCTGATGGAGATTCGAACCGAGGACGTGTAATACGAGGACATGAAAAAACACCTCGATTTGTATGACACCAGCGACTACCCCAAGGCCCATGCCATACACAGTACGGTAAATAAAAAGGTCCTAGGTAAGATGAAGGACGAGTGTGCCGGCACGCCCATAGCTGAGTACATAGGTTTGAGGCCTAAGATGTATTCCATACTGAAGGCCGACAATGGTGAGATCCGGAAGGCTAAGGGTGTTAAGAAGTATGTGGTTAAACAACACATCAAACACGCCAGATTCAAGGAAGCCCTATTCAAGACCCGTACCTTTAGACATAAAATGAACACACTTAGAAGTGATGGGCATAAGATATACGGACTGACTATAAACAAGACGTCCCTGTCGCCGATGGACACTAAGCGTTGGATAGCTATTGATGGGATAAACACGTGCGGCGTCACGGGCATGAGAAAATTGAACCAAGAACATAGGTGTATGTAAGCGACATGTCACGGAACCAGAGAAAGTTTGAGGCTATTTACTATAGCCCACGTGGGTACTGGAAAGGAGCTAAGCTGTACATAAGCTGGCTAAAATGGCTGAGTGCCCCGGAGGAGGCAAAGCGTGGCTTGAAAAACAAGCCCTATGGCAGATCTATATACCTGCACCACGCTCGTGCCTAGAAGGAGGTTCGGTATTAACATACCTAATAGCGTTCACCAGGCAGACCTACTGTTCCTACCCACGACAATAGGTACAAGTATGCCTTAACTGTCGTGGATGTGGCCAGTCGTTACAAGGAAGCCGAACCCTTGACCACGAAAGATTCTGCCCAGGTAGCCAGAGGATTGACGCATATACAAAGCGCGAGTCCGCTGACGTGGCCAACAGAGCTGCAAGTTGACCCCGGGCGGGAGTTCATGGGTGCCGTGTCACACCTGTTAGACAAACACGATACAAAGGTCAGGCGTGGCACGGCTGGAGCCCATCGCAGCCAAGCCATAGTTGAGAGATTCAATAGGACTTTGGCTGAGCGCTTATTCGGGCATCAGTATGCTAGGGAGATGGCCACCCGGAAAAGCGATCGACTGAATGGGTATCACGGCTCCCTAAGGTGGTGTCGGCAATCAACCATGAAGTCACCCGGCTCACTGATAAGAAACCGGCAGACGCTATCAAACTAAAATCAATAGTGGCAGAGTCGGCTGCTCCATTGCGTGGAAAAGAGAAACAGATACCAGATAGGGCCCTAGTGAGGTATCTATACCAGCCGGGGGAACACGAGGGTGATAGCCGTAAGCGAGCCACCGATCCTATATGGTCAGTCAAAACTTACAACATAGATAAAGTGGACATCAAAGCAGACGAGCCTAACTTGTACTACTTGAGGGATGGGCCAGGTAGGGGGTTTGTAAGAGCGGAATTATTGATCGTACCGTATGGCACCGTGTTACCTCCAGTCAACACGGCATAGCGGCACCCCAGGATACCGACATGCGTCAACCATACCCCCGGTAGCTCAGTCGGTTAAGTGGTGCGGCTGTGAGGTGTAACATTGGGCGTTCGCATCCCGCTATCGTCCCAAACTTTTTTATAGTAGGGGTAATGGTAGCAAGAGCTAAGGGTCCGACCAAAGCCTTACTTGTGAAATAAGGCTTTGCAGAGGCTTTTGTTGGAACTGGTCCAAAACCCCCATTGTATATACTACTTCTTTCTACCCCCTCTGCAGACTCTTTGTTTAAATTCCTCCTTGGACAGTTTATGAAGTTTTTGAGATTAAAAGACTGTGATGTACCTTGAATGAGCTTTTGAGTAGCCCGGGTGTACACCAAGGGTGGCTGATTGATGTCCATTGTTCTTGTACCAGGACGGTGAACACCCCAAGCCACAACACAATGGACTTGGCTTGTGATTAAATTTGATGGAAAAAGATTGTTGGAAAATTAGAAAATATTGCACACAAGAAATGGCAATATGATCCAATTTTACACAGGTCCTATACTATGTTAGAGGTAGTACTTTAAGAATTATCTTCATTGTTGATTGTGTACAAAATTGCAAAATCCCGGATAGGGCTTGGTGGACTTGTGTTTCAGGGCTCCGGATAATTTTTCATCATCAGGAGTACGTACTCTTTATTTTTTAAATATAGGAGTACTTGAAAAAAAATACAAACTTTTTTTCAGATAAATATGTCTGTAAATCATTCTAAGACTGTACACCATTGCTGTGGTGCGTATCTGCTACGTTTTCTAAATTATTTCCTACCGCATCGTGTATATTTATCGTCCGTACATACGCCGATACGGCCCTTATCTGGAGCCCTGTCTTTGGTTGTTGTGACAACACTTGTAGTCCCTCTTGCTGCTAAGACAGACAGATCATTTATTGTCTGTCTGTCTGTGAATACACAGGCCTTCTACATCCTCCATGACATCAACCATAGAAAAGCAAGTGAATGTGTTAGATGATGCCCACTGACAGGCTACCACAATTTTTTCCAGGACGCAAGAGAGGAGGATATAGCTCGTAAATTATGCGGTCTGAGAGATCAATACGCTGGGGTTCTTTAATGGTCAGACCAGGACTGTGCTCTTGGTGATAGTGTTATCTCAGTTTTCTTGACAGGAAATCCAATGACAACAGTGACCATGTCTGAAGGATTCAGTCCCCTGAAGGAAACATTTTAACATTCTGACTCGGCATAATATTCTATTCGGATCCAATATAGGGGCCAGAGCTGGAATATTGTACAAGGACTGTCCTTGTGGTCCTACAGCAGACTTCTGGTCCACAGCCTGAAACTCCGGGTGTGTTTTAAGTGATGGATCCTTTCAGAACCTGACTGATTTAACATCCAAAGCAAGTAAATATCCTAGAAGGTGCAGCTAAAGAATTCAGTTTTCCAGGCAAGGTGACATATTGATGCTCTCTCCATCAGCTCAAACAGATCATATAGCAGTCCTTATAACACTACAGACAAATCACATTTGGTAGAGATACACTGCTTAGTGAAATCTGCCATCTGATAAGAATAGAGCATAAGTATAAATCTTTTCCTACATAGATTCCTTGCTTGTCGAGAACTGAAGCTTCAGCCATGCGACACCCTTCCAAAGTCCCAAGAGGTGCTGATCCTTCCTGAGATGTAAAAGGATATCAACAACCATTGGAACAGTTTTAGGATCATTGGCAATTGCAGACCTGAGTCTCCTGAAATTGGTTCCATTTAAAGTCATACAATGCAGAAGGTCTAACTGACTATGTAACAGTTAAAAATTCTGGCAAAAATCTGAGTTGTAATTGGTTGTTCCAGATGGTGGTGGAATCTGAGCCGCATTGTGTAGAGGGAAAGCACTGGGTAGAGGGGCAGTCAAAGAGTCATCAGATTATTCTTCAAACTTGGTGGACCATTTCTGCTGGAGGGAAGGAATAGGCCACAAAGTTGACATGGCAGCCACTGAGTAACTGGAGGATCTGGAACTGGGCTGACATACACTGGCAGCTGATTATTGCAAACAATTCTTTGTGAGGCTGTTCCAGGGTCATTGGCAATGACGTTGACTTTTCCAGGAATGTGTCTGGCAGTAGTGTTGCCCTTAAGATACTGAGAGATGTCTGTGGCAATAAGGATTGATGAATCTCTGAGTTGTTATGACCAGTGCTGCATAGCAAGTATGACAGCCTACATCTCCAGAAAAGTGATGTGTACGTGAGAATCTAAAGTCCCGAAGTGGTCATGTCTTCTAGATGAGCTGACCATCCAGTCAGGGATGCGTCTGTATAGAGGTGACAAACAGGATGTGGCACCCAGATTGGAGTCCTGTGAATGATGTTGCCTGGTAGGCTCTACCATCTCAGGTCCTTAGACAGGCTCCATTGGAGAGATGAAAGAGTCTAGCTGTGTCCTCTGTTGGTGCTTGATCCAATCCAGAGTGTATTTGAGGTGCAGACAACTTCTGGCTGTTTGATCCTGCATCAAAGTAAGGGTTCCAAGCAGCGACATCCAAGGGTGAGAAGTGTGCTTATAATCCATAAACCGAGTCAGTACATCGCAATGAGTCACAGGTTAATATCAAATATGGCCCCGATAAATTTCTGAATGACCTTGGGCTGATTTTTCTAAATTTGTGAAGGAAACTGGAAGATGGCTTGAGTGTTCTAAACTGCCTTCTTTGAATGCATTGGGCCAAAGGAAGTCATCCAGGTATGGATGCATCCGAATGTCATAATATGAAGTAGCAATTGGTCAAATAGCATTTCAATTGTAGTGTAGTGCTATATCTTTCTGAAGCTTATATTTGGTGCAAGTCCTATAAGTCGCACAAATAAGTGACAGGAAGGAGTTGTTGCAACTATAGCTTGTTTCCAAATTCTGATACATGATGATTCAGATCATTTGTTTTTATCGGCAGATTTGTAAGTAATCAGGGACAAACAGGCTGAAATTACATTATCTTGTAACAAGCCAAAAAATGTGAGCTTAGCTTACTAATACCCCATGACTACCAACTTCAGCTGAAGTTATATATCCACATTCCCTCATAATTTATAAGGACATAATTTACATTACACCATGTCCGTTCACTAAGAATCCTTATAGTACAAGAAAACTGAGCTATATTAAAGAACAGAGTACATGGCATTCCACAAGGGGAGAAATTATTTTCTGATCATGAGATCCATTTTATATACCTTTAGCTGGGTTCACCTTGATCCCAGAAGCGTAAAGCTTCTCCTCGGTGTGCCAGGCAAAGTTCCTGCAGACTGTTTTAGCACTGAACAGCATCAATATCACAGCAACAGCCAGGAGTACCAGGCGTCTTCTGCTTGGGCTGGAACACATATTGTAAAGGACTTCTGCTCCTTCAGCAATCAATAGGCAAAAACCCATGCTAGGAATGTACAAAATCCTTTCTGCTATGACAAAACCTACATAGAAAAATAAATTTGATGCTGGTATAAATGGAAATATAATTATGGCCAAAGAAACAATGAGCACGTTGCTGTGATTTTCGGCAAATGAAGATGGTGCATCAAGTTCTTCACTGTCAGAAGAACTTCCAGATTCTCGTCTTTTAAACCGTGATTTTTGGCTGGGTGGGTTAATTTTGCCATCATGGGTATTATGGTGAACCCCATTGCCATTCATCTGTGATTTCAGTCCCAGGATTGGATTTCTACATGGTTGGTTCAACTGTTTTATAATCACCTGAGCAAAATAGGCAATTGAAATGTACAGGATGATTGTATATATATTCCTATAATCACTGAGGCTTTCAACCAATGGCACTGATTCCATGGACCAATCAAAGCTGAGAACTGAGGGACATAGGAGCAGCCATATGTTGAGAGTAGGCAGGAAGTGATAGGTCAGAAGTCTAGTCATCAAGCTGTCGGAGTCGGAAGCTGGGTTATCCGAGGGAGCAAATTCTGGTGGTTTGCTGCCCATGAAGTAGATTCTGGTGGCCACAAGAGAGATACCACATGTTGCAAGCAGCACCAGCCCCTCACACAGACCTCGAAAATGGCTCTGCAAGATATAAACAAACAAAAATTATGTAAAAAAAAGATATGTAATTAAATATTAACCAACGTGTAATACTTTTCTGGTGTCTGTACAAGTGCTTGGGTGGTTGTCCAGTACTTTCACATCAATGAATTATGATGGAGAATTTGTCAACCTGATGGACCATACTCAATTTGCACAACAGCATTAGTATTCCTAATTTACTTTTGGAGAGTTTGTACAAATATAAATCTGAGGAATGACTTGGAATCAGCACTATTTTAGGATTGCACTGCATTATATGAAACCATTACATACATACTGAGCTTCATAAAGAAATAATTTGTAATTCTCTCTTCCACCAAGAAATCATCAACATCATTCAAAACTATCAGAAATTACAACTGTCTTTCGAAAATTAAAAATGTATCTGCAACTAACCAGTTTCTGTGGTATTATGATACTGAAACTAATTCATGGTTCAATTATCATCACTCCGAACTATTTGTGAACTAGAAATGGGGCATTATACTTGTGTCTTAGACTCAATCAATACAGACGTATGTTCATTGCTCGACTATTAGCGATATAAAACTATATGCTGATGAGTCCCTCAAAATTTAAGGATTTTTACTTAAATTGTTTACTTAATTCGATGGAGTATTACAAGAAATAAATAACCATCGCATACATCTATTCTTTGTCAGCATTTTCTTTCAAATATTGAAAAAAATATCTTATTAAAATCTGAACCAGTATGTAGAAAGTATACATTGTATAGATGTATATAACCTTTTACTATAATACACTTTTAAAAAAAGATGTTACTATTTTTTTTATATGGGGCCCTTTTGACTTTTTGATGTGGCCCTTTTGACTAGGGGTGTGAGGCCCTTTTGACTTTTCTGTTTTGGGGCCCTTTTGTCCTGTTCCCTATTAAATATGTTGAGGCCTGTAGCTCAAGGTGCAACACTTATTATTGACGCATTACTTGGGGATGCCCCAGAAGGTCACCTTAATTTATCAGAGTATCTAATAAATTGGCATGAAATGCATGTGGACCCGTTTTTTTGTAAATATCTCTTCATCCAAAGACCCAATCGATCTCAAACTGTACAAGTGGATGTTTTGTCAGACAACCAAATCACATTGTAAATCACGATTTTATGCATTTGTATTAAAGAATCTGTCTATGTAACTGTCAACAAAATAAACAGCAGAACCCAGACTGCTTGCAGAGGGAGGGAGCCAATGACCTGTAACAGCGGCAGTGTTGGGTCATAAAGGTCAACGTTCGTCAATGTAGGTCAGCTATGCACGTGACAGGTATGAAGAGGTGTCACAGGTCGTGAATAGGGTAAGGTGGGTGCCAACTGTGAACCATCATACGGAGTTTGTTGCTCGGAGTTGTTCAACATTAACCACAAAACCCATTAGTGAGAATTATTCTGTAGGTGAAAATCTTTAAATTTGTAATGTTAATGTCATATTTTATTTATGCAGTACCTAAGTGGAAATGCATTTAAAGAACACAGAAAGTATATTTACCTTATGTCATTAATCAGACCACTTATGGTTAGAACTCAACAACTGTTAAAGCCCCCGTTCCCTCGGACACAAGCACACACAATCATGCACACTCATTGAAGAAAAGATAGAATGAAGACAAAAGTGTTATGTTTTGATGTCGTTCACATTCCAAATTAAGCAATGCATTTCTAATAGCTTTAAGCATATAGATAGTTAATATTTATATTTTCATGATAATTTTATGTGAAATGAGTGTTTCATGTTACACTATAAGTCGTTGGAATTAGTCAGTGCTGTCATTGTTAAAAGAAGTTATATTTCTTTGAGCATATCTGGCTGGATACTATTATTATCTGTAAATATTGCTGCGAGCAGCGATTAGGGCTCCTTGGCTTTACTTCTTTGGAGCCTTTTGCATCTCTCACATATCTCGTGAATGTAGTAATGGTATTAGTTAATATGAATCATATCACTGCTAGTCGAATGCTCTTCGACTGGAAGTACTGGGAGGTCATTAAGTTTCGATAAACTCATCACAAAACCTATTTTCGTACATTAAATAATATCACTTAGGTATCATGAATATCAAAACAGAAGAACCCTTTGTTCAAACAGTCAGAGAAACAGAAAATGTTGTGGCCTCAACTATATAATTTGAAAGGTTCACTGTGACTGACATTATGTGAATCTAAATGTACGTCACATGTAGCTGACAAGTCGTGATGACTCGATTATTTACAGACCGCGGACATACAGCTTGAATATTGCTGAGTGTGGCGTAAAACTAAACTCACTCACACTCCGCGCTCACGCAAAGGGAACTTGTGATTACACAGCAGTTAAGGTACTTCAGTAGTTTTGCATCAGTATCCATTACACTGTTACACTCGATCTGTTGCAACTGAATTCGTGAATCGAGAGCAGGTATATATACTGGAAATACACCTAAACTTCGATACAACTCACCTATGAAGTTTTAAAATCCATGCAAACAGCACCCGAATTGTTAGCAAAAGCGTATTACTCTTCGGGCATTGCAAAGTCGGTGCCTGGTCGTTGTTGAGCGATTTTACTAAAGCTTACTTCAGCTAGACCAGAGTTTCCCCTTAGACCACAGCTACAACTTTTACCCTGACCGGGCGGCTCAATCATTGACAATCTTTAAATACTGCCTAAAGACATACCCCTTACAAAGATTGAATTACAATGAAGGAATAGCACCTCTACTGCAGTGTATTTTTATTTTGTGTAGCTCTAGCTCGTCATTGTCAATTGAAATTTACATCGTCTCCCATATCTGCGTGGACCGCGGCTTTGCAGTGGTAGTCTCTTTATAGGAGATATCGTCCTTTGCGCCTTCCTTCAGACTGTCGCATGCTTTGCGGGTAATCTGCCGTGCGTAAATGTCGATGAAACTTATGACACATTCGGCAATGTATCCCTGGGCCGTCGGTGATATAAAGAAGTCCCTATTTCGTTAAATCTGCCCAAACTTTGGGTTTTGAATGTAAGCATTATTTATGATGACTGGTACGTTGTTGGAAGACTTTTTGCGTGGCGTTTGGCGTGTTCTGCCTGGAGTTGAGGGTCAGTTTGTTTGGCACTCTTTTTCTTTCATTTGGGGCACGTCTCAAACAGTTTTTCCTTTTTAGCTCCCATACGTTTTATCCACATGGATAATGTTGAACAGATGTTTTTGATCAGTAATTTTTATGGCTCTTCAAAGTTTGAAAGCCGTAGCGCTTGCAGGGTCTTTTGACATAGGACCAAGAACAGAAAATGTTCAACAACCAAAGGCAACTTCAGAACAAAGCGTTTAAAGTGTTGTATGTGGTAAGTTTAGTTTGGCACAAAATAGCAAAGTAGCCCGTGAAAGTTTTTGAAGACAACTTTTGCCCAAAAGTAGCGTCCAATATGGCGGCCATCATATAAACATAGGCACATTTGGCGATGCTACTGTGTAGAAACATGCATAGACACAAAGTATGCAGCGTTTGAAAGCCGTAGCCCTTGTAGTTTTAGTGCAGCACATTTTGGGAGGTATGCAGTCAGGATTTTGCTGAAAAACATCAAAAAAACTTCAATCCCAAATAGCGTCCAAAGCGGTGCATTTTAGCGACTTGAGCCGTCCAGGCGAAATTGTAGGCATTTTGATTGCGCATCTGCTCAAGAACTTTGGCACACATTGGAGCATTAGTTTTGGAGATATTTGCATTTGAAATTGAAATTTTTGAATTAATTTTGAATTATCTGCCCTTTGCTATTGGGCCTACAGCCTAGAGATTTTAAAGCGCGATATCTACACCTCGGTGGGCATCTGGGTGATTTTTGTCAAGGCATTCTGTCCAGCGGTGCTCTCTGTAGCTCTGGTACAAAATACGGCGGAAGAATAAATGATAATAAAAACATTAACGATTACAATAGGTCTCCTGCCTAAAGGCAAAGGAGCCCTAATTAAAACTCGTTATTTTTGAGTTTTTCGGGGTTTTGACCCCGGAACTTGATAGTATGTTGAAAATGCTTTCTAATGGTCAAGGTCACCAAGGTCACGGGGGTCAAAGTCATTTGACTGGTCCGTCACAAGACAAAAACACGTTTTTTGGCGAGCTAAGACGCCGTTGTTATTACCTCTAGGGTGACAGGAATTAGTGTTTCTGTTTTGCCCAGACCCGATGTATCATATCGCCGGTCAGATTTAGTGACAAATATGTCCGCCTACTGTCCGCATGTCTGTCCGTCAAAATACTGTATAGTTAGTATCTCGGAACTATGAAGCGCACAGAGTTGAGATTTTGCACACAGCATTCCCTTGACTGTGCCTAACGATGATGTAAAAATCAAGTCATTTGAATTTCAACTTTTGTTGCTATGGCAACCTGATAAATGAAAAACTTCAATCCAAGATGGCGGCCAAACGGCTAGAGATATCGCTCTGGGACAACCAGACAAAATGATCGGCATCTCATGACCAAGTCACATACCAAATATGGAAGCGATTGGGGCAATAGTGGTGGAGTTATATGCTGTTTTATGCGTTTTGGACTCGTAATGCATTTCTGCAATTTTCAATGCCATATGGCCGACAAGCGATCAAACTTTTGATATGCATGTAAGAACACGAAATGTTAAGCATCTTATGTTGATGCATACTGCCAAGTTTTACTGCCTTCTGTGCAGAACTTGAGAAGCTATGCTGTTTATAATGTAGTATCATCAGAATCTGACGAATTCCAATATGGCCGTAAAGCAATACACATTTTGACATACAACCAAGAGCGAAAAATGTTCAACACACTTAGTTACTATGTACTGCCAGATTCTAGCTGCATAGTTGAAATAGTTATGACGCTGCGATTTTTTGAAAATACATTTTAGTACAAAATATACAACAGAAGCAAACATCTAGATATCCGTAACTAATCAAGATATCGCAACATAGCTTATGAGCATTAATATTTGAGGTATATATTGTATATCTGCACATTTACAGCGTT